TTACTTTTGAAAATTTTTTGACCCATTGTTCATCTTTTAGTTCATGACGACATAATATATAGACAGAGTTCAGTTGAAGTAAATCCTGGATGAGAGGTACAAGCTGATGGCCAAAACTTCTTGATACGATCATCAACACTTTTTCGGTGATGATTTCAGTAAGATAATCAACACATTGATCGGGATCCATGAATATTGAAATGGAATTAACGACTTGTCGTAGTTGATTAATACAATTTTCATAATTCGTATTGATATCACTAATATCGGAATCCAACCAAACAACAACAAAGTCCTCAACAATGCGACATTGTGGCTGTCGCGTGGAACCTTGTCCTTTTTTTGATGTTTCTTGTGTCATCAAACACTTATCAAGCAAGATATTTATCTAAAATGGTGAAATTAATGTTTTTAACGACTTCGATTTACCGTTATAAATTATCACAAAGGTGTTGATTTTTCTTGTTGTTTTCGTTTCTAGACAATACCTCTTCACAGCTGATACGGAATCGCTAAAGGAGTCACTACAGAAACTGAAAGTTGCAGAAGTTTCACTACTAAATAAACTGAATAATTGTGCGTTGTGGAGCTGCAAGACACAAGAAGTTCTAAAGTGAAAAATGATTTACCCATCTTTGATAATCAAACAATTGAAGCTACTTCCAGCGTAAAAGTGTAGTTGTGCTCTGATAGAATATAAAATACAAGACGGAAGATAGACAAAATTCGGGTTTTCTTTATATAGTTTTGTCATCGGGTATTTTCTCACTGTCATCTTTTATCATGGGACAATAATAGATGAAACTTTTTCTCTGGGAAAAAATTTGCATCAAATTACTCAGATTGACACTTTTATTGACGCTTTCATTCACGCACCCAGTTATTTGTGGAAGGAAAGGAAAAAACTTGTCGCGTTTTTTCTCTTCCAGTCTGCGGCTGATAAAGGAAAGCAATGTTGTATATGACGACAGGTAATGTGAAATAAGAAAAGAATTTTCCCATGGTGAAATTCGCAGGAATTTTGACCTTTAAAAACAATCAGAGAGTTAGGATTCCAGAACCGTTGAAGTATTAAAATTTACCGTATAGGAAAAAAACGATCCATGCGTACAAGAGCAGCTATTTAATCATCGGCTACACTTTGCATCCTCCTAACGTCTTATAAAGAATGTATATTAGGAGTTTCAAACAACTTCCTACGTGTTTCCTCATTTCGCAAGTCACAAAACAGATCTACGCGGTAACGATTGGTTAACCACTCATAACAGAAGTAAGTGTAGTGAGTGTGGGTGTAGGTATGAGAGAAGGCCCTGCCAGCATCGACATCCTCACACCCACACCCTTTCATCTAAAAGAGAATCAATATCAAGTGTTGTTGAATACAATATAACTTAACGAGGGTTGATGTATCCCTATTTACAGAATGCAGCGGCAAAGAATTTTAGTCACATGTTTGTATATGCCATAATTGAATAAAGTACATCTTTATCGGAACATAAGGGAAATCTATGTTCAACTTTACATTCTGATCTCTAGTGTCTCTATTGAAGCTAAAGAATATTTCTAATTCACAAAAACAACCCACGGTATTGGTATCAATCATCTAGAACTGTATCATACTTTTAGCACTCATAAAGTATCTTGTTTCAGTGTTTCAGTATGGATTATTTTGCGAACGTCTGTCGTCATATCATATACGGCAAGTAGTTGTAATAACAAATATATATGCAATCACAATATGATTCGTGTGAAAGAAAGGAAAAAGAAGAAGCACCACTGTTTACTGTGATTATTCTTATTTGGTTTTAGCATCTTAACTTCACCATACACGGGATCTAACTGATTACAAGTAAAGATTTCCTTGTCCGTTGTGAATAATGAATTTATTGTCGACAACTACAAATAAAACTTGGTGTGCAGCCTTTTTGCATTCAGTCACTGAAACAAGAATTCTAGTAGAAGTTACTCATTTACAATGAGACATACTTTTCCTAAATATTTAGTGATTGATCTCTGTTCAAATAAAGATTTCTATTCGATTTGATAAAATTTTTGGAAGTTTTAAAGAAAAGAAGCTTCAAAAACGTTCTTATCAAATCCGAACATCGACATTTTTATCTAATTGTTACTACTCGACATTATCATCATCTCATTATTGTCAAAAGTCACTAAAATCAACAACAACAACAAATGGGTTCATAATAGAGAATAGCAAGACACAAAAATTCTATTACTGACTACAGTTTCAAATGATGCTAAAAATGAATTGACTGATACATTCAACACTGATCAGATCGAGACAAGTTTATGGCATGATTTTCTTAAATGATATGCTGATGATTATTCGCCAGAGTATACTATACAAAACTGAGAGATCATCAAACACAAATTAAAAGAAAAAGTGAGAAATGTGCACAACTAACGATAAACATACAATAAATCTGTTTGTTTCTGGTATGATATACTACCCGTATGTAACGTCAATAAATATATGAACAAGTATAACGCAAATATTTGATCAAAACTCGACATTGTTCCCATTGATTTGCGTCAAATCGAAGAATATTCTTATTACACATGTTATTGTTACTCTGAAATAACTGAACAGAAGATGATCTTCTTTTAATCAAGTATTGAGAAGTAAACTTATTTCAATCAATTGCCAGATATGATCTGTAATATAATTCTTTAAATTGACGTACAAATCATCATCAGGAATGAGTTCGTCTGTGGTGGAAATCACTTTAATAAAACAATATCATTAAGGCTCTGGATTCCATATATTGTACTGAATTAGTCGTACAATAGTTGTACTCATGACTATTGAGATTGAAAAAGATTAAAAAAAATAGTCAATCTCTATAGACGTAAGCTTACATGTATAGTTCTACACACTCATGAGGTTCAATACATTGTGAGTGATAAGTATGATCAAGATCAGAAAGCAGCTTGATCCAAATGTCATTGAATATGCTCTTGAAGAGAATGTTCGACATTCTCCTTTCACCAGAAATCATACATTAAAACTAGGAAAAACTCATGTTAAAGTGAACACACTGTAAAAAACAAGATTAGTGTGATGTTCGCATTGTATGAAACACGTTTATGAGACATTGTACAAACAAACGCGTATTTGTTATACAAGAAAATAATTTCAATGCATTTCAAATGTAGTGTAGTAGTGTTTTAATGCATATGATGCATGAGAAATGTCTTTATTATTCGTTCGCTTTTACTTAGAAGGATTGGAAAAAAATTAGTTGGAAAAAAAACGACTCACCTGATGGTTTTGTGACTAAATGACATGTTCAACTCGGTTCGATTGTAAAAATGACAATAGGATGAATATACTTTTCGACAAAATCGAGTCTATATTAATGAATGAAATGAAACTATGTATCAAACCTGGAGTGCCAATTCCAAAAAAATGAGGTTGAAATTCTCTAACTTATATTCATCATTATTCGCAGAAATCCAACCAATGCAAATTTAAATATTTCACTTGGTAGACGAAACATTTTCGTCATCGCTCAAATTTATGTATTAATCTTACTATTTTTATTCGTCTTCTTCCATCAACTGTACATTTACATAGTCAACTAAGTTTTTGCTTGACATATTGTTGCATAAATATTCACTTTTTCATTGCTGTCTTCTTCTGAATAAATGTAAGAACAACAAAAGCTAAATAATATGGGATGGATGTGCATAAGGCTTTGGATAGTCTTTTTCGATACCTACGTTCATTACCAACCGTGTTTCACATAAGGTTCATAATGAAGAAAAAATATCAGAATTTCAGAAGTTCATTCAATAGTGAACAATATTCCATTGACATCAGTTAGCGTCTGTTAACCTTCAGAAAAATAATCTGTTATTCATCATTGTCCGCCATTTTTAAAAAAATGTAACGAAGGACATGACCTTATTAGACGGATCTTTTTGCGTTGGACAATTTATTTTTGTTGGAGAAGGGTGTGATCTAATCGAGCAAGAAAAAATCTTATTCTCATTACATAAAGTATACCGTGGATCTTGACAGTTTTTTTTTGTTTCGTAAAGTTTCTCATGAATCTTGATTTATATAAAATATTATATGAAAAATTGTTCTTGATTCATAAATAAGTAAAATCAACATTATTGTGATAGAATCTTTTTTCGAATGTGTAAAAATAATCTGGATTTGACCATTCTTTGATGGAAAATAACTATAAACAACATTGTCGTTACTTTATAGAGAATTGATTGAATAAGATCAATAACAAGAAAAGAAACCTTCAACGTGATCAGTAACATCATTCACTATTGTCAAGGCTTCTCCCGCTCTCAGTTGATTAATATGCAAATTATTTGATTCAGATTGAAGAGTTTTGGGTGGGATATCAACGTGGTTGTAGTTAACAGAAACGAAAAACTCACTCATATTTCAACATGAAAAACAAATGATGATACTTAAACATGGTCGACATCAATCGTAATTAATTACTCAACAATCATTTGTACCAACCATTACAATCTTTTACACTCTTACTGTCAGAAAACTAATATAGTATATTATAATTTGAAATTTCAATGTTGAAAATAAAAATGTTTATGTTCTGGATTCATGTTATTCCACGTTCAAACATGAAACGGAAATTTTTTTCAAGTATAAGTAGTGATTGGGAATTTGAATTAAGAAAAACTGGGTTTTTTCTGCATTTCAAAAAAAAAACTGAAAAGTTGTGCAAGACAATGTGTTGTCGATAAAAATACTTGAAGACTGCCATCTATTGGTTTAGAAGTTGGAAGAAAAAGAAAAGTGTGCATATATATAAATCATTTTTTTTTAACAGTTCACCATTCCGTCTTTAATATTCATGTACACATACAAGAATATGCCTCGGGTATCTATAACATTTTATATCTGCTTTATATTCCATATCAATCATGAAATGTTCTTTTAGAAATCAGCACGTATTATTATTGACTCAGATCTAGAATCATGTAGATGGTATTTAATGGTACATGATCTTGATGAAACAATCAAAGAAAGAAATATTAAAAAAATGATTGCACACAAACTCGGAACTAATACTATTAAATTCAATATTAAATTTAATGAACCTAAATGTAAGTATTGCACATGTTATATTTTGTGGAACTGATTTTTAAATTCCATAGAAATTTTCAATGAAAGATTATTTAATGAAAGTATCTCTTTTGCTATTAAAATGAATTTTTGTTGTAGTCATTCATGGTAGAGAATCTCAATGCGCTAGTGTAACATTTCCTAATGAAGAATGTGTAAATAAGATTATGGCACGTTGACCTATTAGTATTCATGGTCGCATATTAACTGTATCACGAAAGATTCCAAGAACTTTATATTTATCGTATCGAACTACATGTGGTCTTCGAGTTGTCATAGAAATAACAGATATAAATTCAAATAATAATGAATCCATCGATGTCGAAAATTATTTTCAACAATATAGTAAAATAAACGCTCATGATTACGTTGCCGATAATGTTGCATACTTCCTATTTGACGAGTAAGAGATATTATGTTCATTGAAAATTGCAATGATCAATTTTGATTGACATTTTAGCTATGATGCAGTTGATCGAATCGTTCTAGAAAAAAATCAACATCGATACAAAGGATTTTATTTAATTGTTGAAAGAGTTCCAGTGCCATGTGACAGACATAAGTATCTTGTACAATAATCTAACATGAATTTTTTTACCAAAAAAAAGCCGTTGATCATATGTCTATTTGGTGACTCTTCAGAATTCAAAGAGTCACAAGTGTTATAATGTTCTTCAGACTTCATAGAAAATTCTTTTCTCCATTTTATCAAAATAGTGATAACTTCGCCGATATCGTTCTACAAATATTGATGATTCAATAAAAATAAAGAGGCATTTTTATATAACACTTATTATAAACATAAACCCATCTCCTCAGGCGAGCAAAAAATAAGGGGTGACGTCCGACATGACTAGTCTAAATTGTCCGTAGTACCCGTCTGAACTAGTCTAAAATGTCTGCACTGCCGTTTGGACTAGTCTGAAATGTTTTGCAGCTAGTCAGGACTAGTCGTCTTCACGAGCAACGTCTTGCATCTAAAATAGACTAGTCCAAAACATGCTCTAATCTTGTCATGACTAGTCCGTTTTGTATGTGCATACTGTCCAGACGCGTCAACTTGAAGGCGAAAGCTAGAAGAAACGAAGGCGATAGGTGGATTCGAACATCCAAGTCGACAATACTGGATACCTGACTAGTCTAAACTGTTTTCAATAGGTAACGCGGACTATTATGAAGAGTCATCTATATTGGTCATGACTAGTCGTTTTCGAGAAAGTAATGCCAATTCTGGTCCAGGCTAGTCTATCCTTCCAAACAGTCTTTATTCCTTGGACTTAATCATTCGGACAATTCAATGAGACTAGTTTGTATTGGGACTAGAACGCTGTATCTAACGAGAGTTAGCTATTAATGTCCTTCTAAATTTTTACATTGTAATAACAATCAAGAATGATTTTATTCGAAAAATGAATTTTAATGCATTGATATGAGAATATTATTTTATTTCAATATAAAACCTAATGATTTGAATTTAAAAATGAATTTAAACGGTAGAATCATAGTTCATTTTAAAATTTAAATAGGAAATATTTTAAATTAAGATAAACATAAACCATGAGACGAAAAGCAAAATCTCTTTTTGAGATATATATTATTATTTTTATTTAAATTTTAATTGTTTTTTTCCAATAGAAAATAACTTTTTCCAAATGTCGATGATCAAAAAAATTCTGTTGAAGGAAATTAAAAAAATTCTGAATTAATTTTGCTTAGCTTTATGTAACTAATTTTCGATTTTATTACAAGTAGTTTCTATAAATATTAAAACTTGAGAAAACACTGAGTCAAACTGTAGTAATTAGTGTCTTCAGATATATATTGACATGTAAAAGTTGATCACTAGATAATATGGCTCAATCGGGTAGACGACGAGTAAGTAACACAAGGTATGCATGTACGAATCTAACTTTCTGTACATATTTCTATCATTTAGACTAGTCCGAACTAGATCGTTACATAAGACTGAAACGTAATAGATGTCGCGTCACAGACGCTCTGCCTTTTTTAATTTAAAATCTATATTCGGACGGGATGCCCAGACGAGGTTAAAGATTCAAAAGCATTTTGGACTAGTCATGTAGTAGGACTTTTTGAGAAAAAGACTAGACATGACGCATAGTCACGACTAGAAAAATGACTAGTCTTTTTACCCGTCCTTTGCTCGCCTGGGTCAAAAGTGTATGATGATGGCGGAAACAATTTGAGAGTAGATTGCATTCATTGTATTCCATATTTTAACTTCTTGATGAATTACGTTGAAAATTCTTTTTTTTTTTTGTATTTCTATAACATGTTGATTTAGATACAATTGTTAGTTTGGATGTTCCTGAATTTTGTATTCATGTTACAAATATACCAAACGATGTAAATAGTGACGAATTATCAACAATTTTCAAAGTAGATATTGTCAATATTCTTGTACAACCACATAATGAATTAAATGATCATCTGGTAGAAAATAGTCGTATACAAGTTGAAGCTTGGATAAAAGAGATTGACAATGAACAATCAACACAAAAATTAGCTAAAGAAAAACATGGATTATATTTACGTGGTTTTAGAATTCAATGTCAAGATATATGTGTTACATTGGAAATATTTGAATTATGTGAACATTTTCAAAATGAAACATGTTCATATTCAATCTGTTGCGATATGAAACATATACAATGTGTTGAACCGAGTACATGTGGGAATATACAACGTTGGTATGGACATGATTCACAGCGAACTACAAGATCAGAACGTCGATCTATATCAAGTAATGGAAAACAATGATACTACATTTTAATGTAGTTTCAATAATATTCTAGGTGAAGATGGTTATCGTGTACGAATCGCAAATTTTCCACTCAAAGCTACACGAGAAGAAATATTCAAACATTTACCATCAAAATTTCCTCGAATTAGAGAAAATCTTATTTTATATAATGAATCAAATCCAACAAAACTAATAATTGCTTATGTTATCGATCAAAAATCAGAGATTATAGCTAAAAGATTAATTCATTCATGGCATAATCAACAATTTCTGCAAGATCAACCGAGCAAAATGAAATGTCAATTAGAGATTAATGTTGAAAATTTCAATTCAACTATTGGATTTCTCATGTCGATGGCACCATAGATTCAAAGTTGAGCTTCATCAATAATATCAAGTGTCAATAGTACGAAAGTCCGTAAGATGCCAGTAAGACTTGATTTACAAAAACAATGTACACAAATGAAAACTATGAACAATATCAATTATAATGAAAATGATCATTCATACTCAAATATTGAACTGGCGAATGAGGGAAACATAACCAAACTTCAATCTTCATGGGATCGGGAAAATGCAACATTACTGGAAGGAAGAACCAATGAAATACGTCGCGTCTATTTAGTTAGCGATAAAGAAAATCGAAATAAACAGGCTGAAATAAGAATCTATTCAACAATATCCGATAGAACTTCACGAGTGTATGTACAACGACATCGAAGAGTTCTCGAGCGGTTGAAAGGTAAACATAGATATGAATCGATTAGATAGAACAATGAGCACATATAATTATGTAACTTCGTTTATTCGACAGAATGTGATTTCACATATTGTGGTATCGAATTTTCTTCTAGGTTATCTTCAGGCTGTTCGAAAGCTTTGGAACATATAAAAAGATCCGAGGAATATGAAAAATTACATAACTAAGCTCACCTGATACGAGTATTTTCCTAAATAGATAATAAAAGAATATGATTCGTATCGGATTGAGAAAGAGGATGAAATTAATACAACAAAACTTTTTTTTATCACTCTTTGTTTATTCTCCTTCGTGATCTGATACTATGATTCAGATGAAACTAATCCATGAGATTACACGACACACAAGTAATAGATCCCAGACCGATCATTACGACGATCGTAAACGACCGCATACGGATGTTTACGATGACGTCAACGGTCGTAACCGACAAAGTTACGACCGCATACGGGCCGTAAATCACCCGTTTTGTATGCACAGGATTACGGTCGTATGACGCCGTGTCGTATACGCCGAAAAGCGAATATCGTTTACACTTAAAATACAGCCGTAACACTGCCGGTTACGATCGTATATCTACGTAATTCACCATCTCAAGTCGGAGATTTTCGTACATTTTTTTTGTTCCTCGTGATTTCCGAGACAATTTGGTTTTTGAGAATTTAAATTGACCTTATTGAAAGGTACAACGATGGTGGGGATCTTATTTTGATTTCTCAGGAGATTTGATTTCTGGGAATTTAAATTTACCTTTTCTGAAGGTACTTACAAGGAAACCGTCCCAACTAGTCCACGCCAATTTTGCTCATATTTTTTTCATATGTAGGGGTCATCATGCTAAGAAAAACTCTAAGAGAATATTGGTCCATGCCGCGATTTGGCTGAGTTATAGTGGTTTTACGAAAATTTCCCTGCAGGACTCTGATTTTCTAACAAAGACATACTTTTGAATTTTGATCTGAAACTTTGCCCATATCAAGGCCTCAACTAGACTAGCTTTCATAAAAATTTCAGAAGTTTTCGACATACTATCATCAGGATATGAATATTTCAAAGTAAGCATAATTTGTACAGTATCTATGGAGAAGCACGTATACTTTGAAAAATTCATATCTTGGTGATAGTATTTCGAAAGCTTCTGAAATTTTTATGGAAGCTAATCTAGTTGAGGCCTTGATATGGGCAAAGTTTCAGATCAAAATTCGAAAATATGTCTTTATTAGAAAATCAGAGTCCTGGAGGGAAATTTTCGTAAAACCACCATACCTCAGCCAAATCGCGACAGGGGCCAATATTCTCTTAGAGTTTTTCTTAGCATGATGACCCCTACATATGGAAAAAATATGAGCAAAACTGGCGTGGACTAGTTGGGACGGTTCTCTCGTTAGGTGAGAAGGACTTTATTGTGATGTCTTAGAAATTCTGAGAAAATTTTATTTTGAGAATTTAAATCTACTTTTTCTGAAAGTACTTCGATGACGAAGATTTCATTTCGATTTTTTGTGATTTCTGAGAAGATTTGATTTGTTGAGGGTTTTTAATTATCAAAGGGGAAACAGCACGATTTCAGTCTTGAAGTCCAATGAAGTTTTGTGAAGTCTCTTAAAATCTCAGAAAGTCTCGCAATATTTCAAAAATTTGAAGTCGTTGTTGTAAAGTCTCATGAAGTCTTTTGAAGTCTTGAGATCTGCTGTTTCTCCCGTGGTAATTACCTTATCTAAAGGTGGCGCGATGAGAGGAATACTTTTCGATTTCTCAATGTTTTTGAGAATTAAAAATCAATTGTAAATCTGGCTTGCCTAATTCTCACTTGTACAGATGTATAAAGGTAAGTGTAGGTGTGCTGTGATGTGTATCAAAGACTTATGTTCCGTATTTACCTATCTACTTATGTCCTGACATGTGTGGTTATTATAAGATTTTAAAGAATTTAAATTCAACTTACCTGTACCTGTGTTGGATTTGAAATCAACTGATCTATGGTGAGACAGCTATATGTATAGTGTGGGGCGAAATAATAAAAAATCTTGATGAAAAATCACATTAAAATCGATTTTTTATGGAAGAATTAATTTTAAGTTGATGAAAAATTAGATAAAAATCCATTTTTAAACAAATAATCGATTTTAATCTGATTTTTCGTCAAAATTTTTTCACATGGATATCGCATGAAACAATTTTGATTCCTTATTTCGATTTGATTATAGTTCGATTCATGTAGGTGCAGTTCATCCTATAAATTCATCTTCAAGTACGAGAATTTCTCCAACAAGATCTTCAGCAAAATCATGTCCAGTTGTTATGAGTTGAGCAAGCCAAAATCCACTTTCATAGCCTCTTTTAACAGTTTATTCCAGAGATAGTGCTAATAGAACATATCAGCTCGAATCTTGACAGTAACCTATGTTGGTTGGAAGACTCAACAGAACGAGATTCAGCATTTTGTTACTACAGTCGTCATTTTTTACACATAATACAAAGCCGTAAAAAATAATCTTCATGTGGTTAGAAAATTTTTTCAAACAAAATTTTGAAATTGCCCATTTATAATTTGTTGACTTATTCATAAAAAATCTAAAGAATGTATAAGTGAAGAGAATTTTACAAAGCAAAGGATGGTGTCGATCTTAGAAGCTTCTATGAAAATTTGTACTATTTTTGACAGATTTTAGAAGTGCTAAGAAGCTCAGCTCCTCTAGTAGCGAAGTTTTGATTTCACCACTGTTTAATGAGAGTAGTTCGTCATCGTTAACGACTGTTCATGAACACATACGATAAAACACGATGAGTGTAGATCACACCGTTTACAGCCGGCATTTACGATATCTTACAATATTATTCGAGTGTCATTTACAGTCATTATATTATTACTATAGTCGTAAACGGCAAATATTTACGACCACTGTTTACGATCAGCGTAATACACCGTAAAACCTCGTATGCAGTTGCCGTAAAGGTCATTGTAAGCAGCTGTCGTTTTCCATCGTAAATGATTGGTATACGGGCGAACGTGATTAACCTGGGCAATCATCATGTCATATGTAGAACACAAGATTATTGGAAGATGATATGGTCAGCAAGTGTTACCTCGATAACAGCGGATATGATTCTATCTATCTAAACTAACGTGTTATACGAATAAACCATTTTTTTTAGAACATCGCGAAGAAGTATATCTGTATGACATGCAGAACGAGAGAGACTTTCCTAGACTATCATATGATATAATTTCTTTTATATTAATTATTCTTTTTTGAGAATTATAATTTTACAAGAATGAAAAAGAAAATATTGAAAAAATGTGGATTTTTTGTACTTTTCGAGTACGGTTGCATTGATTATTTTTAAATAATGACGCTATATATGAACGTAAGGAAATAAATAAATATATAAAATGATAGAGAAATTCAAGCTTTGTCGGAATCTATAATTGATTTTAAAAGAACATAATTCTATAGTAATGAAAAATTTAAAAAACTAATCTTGATGATAATAAAAAAATCAAGTCTGTGGTAATCTGGACATGAGGCTGTCTTCATTGTACTCAACTTTTTTTGCTGATAAATTGGTACAAACCAAAATGTAAATATACAGGTGTGATAAAAAACTCCACAGGCTTTCAGAATATGTAATTATTATTAAAGAAAACATGTTTTTATAGTGACGATATCTTCGAAAAACGGACTCTAACTATTTTTTTCGGGTGTATATAAGGAGATTTGAACAAGAAATATAGTACAATAAGCCGCATTGGCAAAGTCTTTAGTTTTTTCTATTTATAATTCCAAAGAAACATAATTAATGTCTTTAAATAGACTGTCACGTTCTTAACCATATCTCTTTATATTGTTCGAACTAAACCAGCGGCAATAGCACCTGCAAGATTCAAAATGACGCCAACAATGGTGACAGCACCAGCTGCACCTATTTTTGTACCACGGATATCATTAACAAAACTTAGGCCAACTGCCATCCCAATCAGGCCAAACACAAAGCATACGACAGCCAGAACTTTACTAATCAGGAAAAATTGTGAGTTGAATTGGTTCATGATGACAACAAATACTAGACATCCAACTGCGAAAGGAGTAATAATACAGACCAAGGTCAGGAATGCTCGTGTAGCCTGTATTTTAGAACATAAGTTAGTACCCGAGCAAGTCGCAGTATCAACGTTCCACAAGCCAATTCCAGTATCCGAAGAAGCACCAGAAACGGTAGCCCTAGAAACAACAAACACATACAGATGTTCAGTTGGGTTTGGTGCATTTTCAAAGTTTTAATCGATTTAACTAAAGGTTTTGACGATCTGTTTGTATGACCGTGGCAAACAGGAAATTTTCTCTTTTTTTTTATTATCGTCCTCTTTAGATGATTTTCTGGAAAAGTGATATTCAATAGAGCAAAAAATACAGGAATGAAAAGAAAATGTTAAACTATGATACGCTGACTTCGACATAGTGGACCCAATCGTTGAGATTTTTCTAGATGGACATAGGATCGATCGCTTATCGTTCGAAAACATATTAATTCAAGATAAGATATAAGTTGAACTTCTACCGAAATAATTCTACTTTCGAATGACTATTGATTCTTATTAATCTTTGACTAGATCACAGATATTTTCCTAGGCACATTAGAAGAGTATCGAGAAAGATGAAACTAGAATAGTCTATCGTATATCAAAAGATAATTATTTTCCTGGTAAATTTATCTACTGGATCAATTTTAGATCCATAATTAAGATATACTCTCCACCATAAAAATACATTATTGATGAGAGAAAAAGAAAAAAATATTGCATAACATAGGATAGAGAACATGGAAGACTTTCAATTTGATTACTTATTACATTGCAAAAGTTTTAATTTTTTGTAAGGCTTCGAAATAACAAGTATATGAATTTCTAATTGAGCATATGAATATTTATTGCAGAGGTAGAAATATTTCAAAGCCCAAAGCAATAAATATACACTTATAAAAAATTAATTAGATCGTGATTTTTTCAATATTTGGATAATAGAGGAGATTGTATATTCATCAACCACTTCTCATTTGTTGGACATATCAACTGGATAGAGAGTATGCGAACACTTACCACGATGGCGCCGCATTGCCTGCAACATAAAAAATCCAAGAAACAGCGAGCAGACCCGCTGCTATTAGTGTTAACCTTCGTCCATCCAACATCGTCCTACGAAGTCAAGTAAATCCTTTTCGACGGCTTGTACTTGTAATGAAAAAAAATCAATACAAGAGTATTGCTTAATATCAAGGAGAAAAAAGCATATTTTTATGTATTTCTGGATTTCACAAATATCTAGAAATCACTGCACGAGCGAGATGACCGAATTTCAATATAGCTGCTCGATTGATACTCTCAGAGTTTGATGAAAATGATTCTATTTTGTAGAATAAATTTTTTTAGATATAGAACCAAATTTTTAGACTTAAAGGTTGAACTTTGACTGAGATCCCTATATATTAGAGTCCAAAAATAGTCTATCTTCATGATAGGCTTTCTCCAAATTAGGGCGATAGAATTTGGTGATTTTTTTCTTAAAGACTATTAACCTAGTACTACTTAAATATACAATCAAAACTTTGGGATCTTGAAGCTTGCCTGGACAAGTATTAGCATCAAATATCACTACCTTATTTATGAGTCAGTCCACATAGGCCACGACCGGTTTCTATAAAAGTTGCTCAATTTAATATATATAGTAGAGGCAAGAGTTCCGGGAATTTTTTAACGTAAACTGTTTGAAAAAGTATTGTTCTGTTCTCGAGATATTGAAATTTTTCTGAGTACACGATCGTTAAAAAAAGTGCTTTTTTTGTGACATCGTTATCTCATCAAGGGTGCATGCAATTGACTTGAAATTTTTACTGTGAGTAGATATCATAATTGCATACTACTGAAAAAAACTCGAGCTCAAATGGATAAGCTATTGAAGAGTTGCGCAATACTATCAAGTAGATGGGAAAATTGTCATTTTCCAGTATTTTGTGCATATGTCTATCTCATGAAAGAATCATGTTAGAGAGTTGAAATATTGGCTATGGAGAGACCTTATTGAGTACATAGTCCAATAAAAATTTCAGCTCTCTACATGGTTCCTACTGCTCAAGAGATTTTCCACAAAATCACCATTTTATGAAGGTTCGATCTCCACTGCTGACATTTGAATGGAACCCGGGTTGGTGTGATTTCAGAGTACACATTGAGTACTACATAGATATGTAACAATTGTGGTGGAATCTCAGAGAATGGCCTTAGGAGACTTACTGAAAAATACAGAAAAAATGAGCCGTATTCTGTAGGAAACGTATCAAAGTTCGCTTAGAAACTACTCGAAGAACTTCATCATATCAAATAGATTCTACCTAGTGTAAATCAGCACATGATCCTCTATCACGTTCCATAAGAATATCCTTTCAAAATGAAAAAATTTTTGTTTCGAAAAATTCCCGTATCCCCTTCAGGTCTTTTGATGAGGAATCGTTTTCTATAAAATCCCCGTACTCCCTACTGGAATTTTTTTTTAAAAAACTTTTTCATTTTGAAAAGATATTTTTATGGAGAATGATAGAGCATCGCATGCTGATTTACGCTAGGAGGAATTTATCTGATTTGATGAAACTCTTCAAGTAATTTCTAAGCAAACTTGGATACGTTTTCTGTAAAATAGGACTCATTTTTTTGTACTTTTCAGTAAGTCTCCTAGGACCATTCTTTGAGATTCCATCCCAATTGTTAGATAACTATGTAGTAAAGCCCTCGACACATTAGAAGACTCGGGATCTTCTATGGTGTCGAATCTTTTTCGTGATCTCGACGACAAATTCTAATTTCAACCCTTTTCTGTCCAATACGTCGTTAGTAAACGAGTTTATTTTGCTTACCTCGTGCTCGTACAATGGAAAAGAAGCGGATAATGTTTTAATGGAAAATAAAAACGAAAACAATCATTGGTTGGAAGAGTGTTCTTGAAACAATATACACAACATACTCTCAAATTTTTGTGCGATTTATAACGGCACTATTTGTTCTAAAGAATACGATCTATCACTAGTGGCTTTTACGTTGTACATAACTACACTCTCGGACAAAAGTCTTTCTCCCTCTTTATTTCTATGCTATCATACTTTGTATCAAATTTATTGCCGAGTAAAAATATGGCATAAGAGTTTTATTTCAGTGTAATTTATACCATATTGAAATAAAACTCTTATGCCATATCTTTACTTGGCCATAAATTTGATGTAAAGTATGATAGTATAGAAATAAAGAAGGAGAAAGACTTTTATCCGGAGGTATAAATAACTTAAAGAAAGAAAATTAAATCTTTTTCAGTCAAAGTTATTGAAGTTAGTTGCTTATGTTGAGGATTGGGTCGTATAAATAGAATTGGTTTAAATTAAAATGTACCACTAGCTTAGTTATTAGTTTCTAGCTAATGTGAATGAATATGGTTGTCTACCAAGAAACAATTTACAGAACAAAGAGCGATTGAATAAACGTTGAGGGTGATTTTAAAATCTTTTATGTCTGTGTCGAAAAGCAACTAGGTATCTTTATGTGAAGAGAAACATGTCCTCATACACAGGAGGGATATTTCATAAAAAACGTCTAATTGGAAATCCTCGGACATATATTTTTTCTAATTACGAATGAGATCTTCCATGATAAGAATATGTCAAAATTTCTAGAAGAAAGTGCATAGACGAAGCACAGTATTAACTAATGGAAAGTGGGTTTTTACCGAAGATATTCTTATTTCGGGAAGATTTCGTCACGTGTGACACGTTTGGATGCGCACCGCTTTAGTTAGGTCCTATAATCGTTGAAACAAATATTTTCGCAAAGGAAATCTAACAAGTTTCTTCACAGTATGCTGCAAAGGAGCATTAAAGTGACCTCAAGATATGCTTTTTTATACAGAAAGTTGTTTCTTATTAACTGCTCTTTCCTATTACCTTTTTCTTATCAGTTGTTCAGCTCAGGTCTCACATGTCGCTAAGACGATGGAAGCAAAATATTGTCCATACTACAAAAACTTATATATTAACATATGCATAAATGCTAAAAAATCAAAAAGCTTGTTTTCTAATATGGGGATGTCTTCTAATGTGTCGAGGGCTTTACTCAAGTGTGTACTCTGAAACTACACCAATCCGAGTTCTATCGCGTACTGGTGACAAGATATCATTAAAATAGCTTACATAAAAGATTAATCAAAAATTTTTCATACTAACAAAACTCCATTTTGAATGGTATTAGCCGGATGAGCGTATCTCAGTCAAAGTTCAATTTTTAAGTTTAAAAACTGGGTTCTATACTTAAAAAAATGTGCTCTACAAAATAGGAAAACTTACATCAAAATCTGAGGCTATCGATTGAGCACAATCGGTCGTGGCTCTTGTGCAATGACTCATATGTGTACTTTGTCTTCGATATTATCTTATTAAGTTAACGCGAAAATTCAACTGAGTCTTCAAGATCTACAGTGAAGCCAACAATATGCAACACATTTGTGTGTCTCATCAAAGCTAGATGCGCATTATTGAGATATTTCATTCTTTAAACTCAAAATGTAATTTAACCCCTATTGAAGAAGCACAAATTTTGTACTTTTAAGTACTAGCGTAAAAAAGTGTATCGAAGTACCAAAAAGAAAAAAAACACCTTTGCTACTCATCTCTTGGCAAATACTGCGAACTTAAAATTTTAAAATATTATATTTGCAAAAATAATTTAAATATCTTTTATATCATTATTTTATTTTATTTTATTTTGAACATACAGACTATTTGATTAGTTTAAGATTCGCTCTAGTTTGCGCAAATATAATTTGATTTTAATTTTAAAATGAATTAATTTAATTTAAAATTGAATAAAGATAGAATATTAAAAACTTAAGTTCTGTGTTATATAAATGATTATCAATTTATTTTTGAATTTAATATTTTTTGCACAATCACTTTTTTTTGTAATTTTCAACCATCAAAAAGTTTTCTTTTTTAATTTAAAAATATCTCAAATGATCTTAGTCAAGCTTATCTACATGATTTTATACTAGAATAATTTTTTTTATTAATATGAAATTTTAAAAACTTGAGTAAAATTTTATTAAATGCTATCGACGAATGATTAGTAAGACATAGAAGTCGGTTTCTGGATTATATGATTCAATATTCTAAATGATAGGCAAGTAATATATTGTATGCATGTTCAAATCTAACCTTTCACTTTATAATATATTTAGATTCAAACTCGTCCCGACTAGTCTAATACATCTTACTATATGAAATTATTTTTATGACCAGCGTCATGCCGAGTCGATCTGTCTAGTCTTTGTTTCAAAAAGTCCTCGTCCAGAACTAGTCTACATTTTCAACAAGAGTGTCATTGCTAACCAACACTGAAAGAGTTCTGGAAAGATCTTTCCCTTGAAAAATATTAGACTATACATATACAACGATGCTCACCAATGACACAGTAGACTTTTGACTATTATCCATTTCAAAATAAAAGAAGGGTGGGTTTTTTTTCGAATAACTTTTAATAAGAATAAGATAGGAATCTGCGATTTTCACTGTTTGAAAGATGAAATAAAAACTACATCGAATCATATAGACCAGATTTTTCTGACAAATTTTCTCAGGGTCTGCCGCTATCAAGTTTATTAAAAACAAAACATTGTGTACATATAAAAGTTTTAGGATTTTAACTTTTAGGAGTGTACTAAAATCATTAATTAAACATCTGTAAATTCTGTAAGTCTGATATTGTAAAGTTTAGCCCATTGTGAGTTATATGCATTTTACTACGTGTTATCGGCAGATTTTTCAAAAAAACATTGACTTTTTTTCTGATTTTTTTGATGGGAAATCCACCTTAAAAATCTATTTAAAGGTCTCGGTTTTTTAAAAATCTTTGTGAGAGATTCTAAGAAAACTTGACAGAAAGATCTGCTCTATACGATTCAATGCAGTTTCATTTTCTCTTTTAAACGATGAAAACCGTAGTTTTCCATCTTGTTCCTATCAAAAATTATTCTAAAAATACTCACCTCTCTTTTATTTTGAAATGGATACTAGTATTGGACGAGAAATTTTTGAAACTCTGACTAGACCGGTCAATCCGACGTGCATAGGAAAAATACTCGACATTTAGCCCGTCACTAACTCACTTGGAATTCACAAATCCTCGAATATGATCAGAGGTGTATACATTGTAGATTACAAGAAAAACGAAAAGATGTATAAATATTTCATTTTATTACTAAACAAAGGATATTTTCATATATGCTATTCACTAATATTCGTGATGAAATATATGAGCTTCTATTTGAATGAGAAATTGAAAAGAATATAACTTCGCGTAGAAAGCTATGTTAACATATTGAAAATGTTTGATAACTTTTTGCAGTATATGATTGCGCAAAATAATAAGAATAGCGTAGTTTCAGTTATCTGGATGATTTCGAACATTTTAATTAAATCGCAATAGTGGTTTTGATAGTATTTAGAATAGTTACAACTGTCTGAGACATCTCATGAAATATATTATTGCTTTGTTTAGAATCGTTGTTTTTTTTGTACTCGTTTTGTTCATTATCTCTTCTTGTTTCATGTATGTAGCTTTCCAAGGAAACATAATGAGAAGATCCGTCAGTTCTCGTTAAGGTAAACTTTGGATAATATCTCAGATGATCAAATATAGTGTGAGAATTTTCTGATACTTCGAGTTCGGCTGAAATAGTTTTTCGAAAATGTTCAAATTATCGTTTTTGAAATCTTGAAAGAATAGTGCTGTCGAAAGCATTGTCGAGATTTGATTGAAGTGCTTGTCATCATTGGAAGAACTTCCAATGACATCTTATAAGTGTGAACAGAACTTTAAATTGATTTTTTGCTATCATATATAATGACTTTTTCAATTGTACAACTTGATTTTCCATATTAATCCATTCATGATCTTCATCGGACACTGTTCTCTTTTATATTTTCTTTGCTCAGACAAGATAATACATTACTCTCCTCTAACAATCCATTTTTAAATATACTAACGTCAAAACTTTCCACGTTTCAACCATATTTGAATGATTCGATGTTTGTATTTTTTTTCCGCAAACGATGTGTTATTAATATATACTAATCCTAACAAATATTTAGCCAAATAATAGTAGTTAGGATCCATATTTTCAAATATAGCGGCGAAATCAGGATGATCACGTGGAAGACATTTCTTCTTCATGGTAAGTGCTCGTCGATAATATTCAATTCCAGAGTTTATTAGAACCAACACTAGAGAATTCGATACCAATATTGACGAATACAAAATTCTTTTCATTTAACTTGATCTCTGGTATGTCTTATCATATAAGTGTAATACACGTACTGAATGCATCACTTCTTGATTCGGATTTTTCATATCACCGAGAGTTTTTCCTGTCAATGATAAACAGTCAGCAATATCAGAATGGTGCTTGGGTAATGTTTAAGTCCTTATGTCTAATACATGTCGAAATTGAATCAATGCATCTTCATATTTCTATTGCAAACGATCAGTATTGCCGAATGCAATGAGTACTTGACATTGTATATTGTATGATTTGGAGGGCGTGGGTATGGGAATGGTTGTGAAATGTGGCTGGGCGTGATTACTCCAATTATTTACACTCACATCCACACCCATACTCACACTCACACCCTCTTTCACTAACATTATTCAATTGACAGGGTCGATAAAATGCGTTTGGATGTATTGCTTTCTGAAATGCAGTTGAACATATCGTTATATAGTTCAGTTAGTGAGGATAAATACTTTAAAAAGAAAGTTGTTTTCGTGCGAAAATGCGTCCGCGAGTCCAACGTGCTACATCTTCGTTGCAATGGTATTGTGATTGGAGGAAATTCTATTCTGTAATTATATAAGGTTTAGAAGGTAGTAGCTGAAAGAAAAAATTGACTTTTCTAATTCATTTAGATAAATATATCAGCTTTCTATTAACTCATTTGAACAAAAATAAGAATTCGAAGCATATTTCTATAAATAATTCTTTATAATACATATTTCAAGCAGGATAATTTTTCATATATATCTCTTTAATTTTTCAATCGATAATGATTATCTTGTTTTCGTTATTTCTGTGTGCAGTCATTCAGAATGATACAAACTGATCTAAGTTTACAATAAGGACCCAATTAGTAGATGCTGTACGAAAACCTACCTATTTCTACTGGAATTAGAATAACTCAATGATATTCTTTTTATCGTCCATGTGTTCATACTTAAACTCCTAAAGCGTCCCTGAATGTCTACAAGTTATGCAAATGGACGTGTTGGAACACATCCAAAATGCGACGTTTTTGGAGCTGTGAACGCATTTGGAGTGAATAAACGCAACATCTTACATTCCAGTTCTACAGTGTCCTAATTGGTTAATATCAAAAAATGCCGTTTGAACACGTCCAACATGCAACATTGTAAAGTGTGTGAACGCGTTTAAACTTGTCCCAGTTGAAAACGCATTAGTATACATTTTCTGGCTCTTTTCTACTCATGATACTGTCATGAGATGAACATATTTACTTTATTCTCAAAAAAGTCAGAAAATCATCATCACTTTGTGTCGGCACTAAACCGTGGTTTAGCATTCAGACTGCATCACCATCATTAAAATATAATTAAATTGAGTTTGATTTAACAGATTAATCCTATAGATCAGTACGCCTATGATAATAGATTGTTATCTGCAGATCTTTTATTGAAAATATTTAATTTTTATCGAAATTATATCTCTCGTTCTTTATTACTTCTAAAATACTTAGGAATGAGCAGACGATAGATTATAATCTTAAAGTTGTTGCCCACTCCATCATTTGTTTCCTAGACAGACAAATAAATCTTTTCAATCTGATATTTTTATTTCCAACTACTTCATTTTATCGAAATTTCACAAGTGCTTTTTCAAATAGAGTTCTTGACTTACCTTTATATTATGTTCTATAATAAAATGACTCGAAATAAAACTTTTAGATTCATGCAATAAAAATAAATATATTACGAAATTTTATTACTTACAATCACAAGAATAAATCATTTTTTTTAAAATTTATGCTTTTAAGAAAAAGATTAATGTGGATATTTTATTTATAAGAATAAAGAACGTTAAATGAAAATGTCGATTTATTTTCAAATAAAAACCTAATATTTTATTCTCCCCCAGATAATCAAAAAAAAAAGTTTGACATCGTAATCACAAAAAACTACGTAGACGAGAATATTTGTATATATTTTTTTTCTTCTAGTGTCTTCACTTTTTATTAATATTTGAACATTGAGGTGTTGGTAGTAAGAAAAAAAAATGTAAATTAATGCCTTTATACCACATATTTATATATTTATTCATCACAGAATGAGATTTTTTTCTTCTGTAATTTTTATTTTTTTTTAATATAAAAAATTTATTTCTTTATTTAAATTTTTTTTAAATATCAAGAATATATTTATCTTGATTTTTTTCAATAAATATATATTGTTTATATTTATTTCACGAAGTCAAAATATACCAGCTCGATTTTCAAACTTGTAACTAGTGTTATATGAACTAATGATGCGATTAATAAACATAGAAACAAATTTGAGTCGTGTTTAGCTCAGAGCTAGTTGTGTTCGATCCGTAATCGACTGGTCGTATATTCAAATCTTCGTTCAAACTATGATTGGAAAAATTACTACTCTGTTGCTCATAGAACTTGAGTATCATATCATAGCTCGCTATAGTGCGTCGGTTCAATTCCGACACAGAGTGATGTTTATTTGTTAAATTTTTTTGGGAACGAAAAATAAACGCGTCATGACATGTTCATTTCCTGCTGCATCTAAACGTAGCAGAATCAGAAAATGTTGCATTCACAATGCATTTCAACGTGTCAAGTTGCATAAATCATAGATGCTAAGGGACATGTGCAAGATCGAAAACGGTTACCTGGATGAGAGGAGAAAAGAAAAGGATAATGAGGCAGAAGAAGACGAGAAAAAGAATGGAGAATTCGTAAGTGTCTTCATATTTTGTGTTCTAACTCAGATTACTGCGATTATCTTTGATCATAATAGAAAAAAAAAAGAAACATGGTGAAAATAAAAGAGCTACAACAATACGCGATTCAGTTATTAGCGGAATGTTTTGCAACATGTGTTCTCATGCTCATGGGCGACGGCGCTATTGCTAACTATAAATTTTCTCGACAACCTTCTCATTCTACACTTCCAATTGCTATTTCGTTTGGCATCGGCGTCTACTCAGGTAATATTGATAGACATAAGTAGAGAAATCAGAATAGCATCTCTATTGATCATTTTTCAGACACTGTAATAAAATCTATTTTCTTTTCGAAAAGGGTCCTTCAATATTTGATCAATAGCATTCTCTGCCCTGATCTATTGCTTCTCTAAAATACCCAGATGAATGAATCCAATACCGAATCTGATCGGATCCGGTTGTTGGAATGATTCTTCTGGGTAAGTTATCCTTCCTATCTCAGGTCAGACAATCAGATACTAAGATCTGATAAGATTCTGCATCTGATCTTTTAAGATCAGACAAGAAAACCATACGAGAAATCGTCGTTTCTGCAATCTTACACAAAATTGTACTATAAGGATCTTGGAAGGTCTTGCCATTCGATAAGATATTACTATAAGATTATAGAAAATCTTATGTGACAGTAAGATCTTTCAAGAATCTTATAATACGATCGTGTGTAAGATTGTAGAGACGACGATTTTTTCTGATTTTATAAGATCTTATGTCTACTTTTTTGACCTGGTTATATTTCAAGTACAAATTTGATGTCCATTTAAATGAAATTGGTTTATTACAAAGACTTACTTGATTTAGCTTTAAGCTCGTACTACAATATGATTTTATCTTCCTTATTAAGTAATGAGAAGCTGAAGTAATTACAATTTATAATAATTGACGTTATCAATTGTCTGTTAAGGAATCAGTCAGTTCATTAATTAATGAATTACCTTATAGTGATTTGTTATGTTACAAGTTTTTCTGTAAAAATGTAATTCCAAAGAGTGTCCTAAAAAAGCAATGTCGATAGAGAAACAAGTGAAGCAATACTTTATGAGTACAAGGTAACTATAAAAATAATTTTATTTCTATAATCTGAATTGCTCTTGCATATACGAATCATTAGTTACAACGAACTAAATCGTTAGATGGCAAGAAAATTTGTCAATATGAATAATAATCAATATTAGTAACTTCGAAGAGTAATCTAATGCTAATTTTTTAGTAATTTGCTAGTTAATGATTTAGTACAACTAATCTCTATTTTTAATTATTATTTCTATTAAGAATCACAACTAGAAGAAACCTAAACATGACAATAATACGTTTGATTGACTGACCATTTTTTATCTGATTTTAGTAATTCCATGAATACAATCTGTTTTTCTCTGCCTATGGCCGCCATTCTAGCCTTATTTCATCGGAAAACAGGATGTAGACTGCAAAGAAGTACAAGTTTTTAACAGAAATCAAATCCATTATTCTTTGTTTCCTAATACGTAAAAAATATATCTATTAATTTACTTTCTTATTTTCTCTAGCACTGATGCTTAGTGGACCAATTACTGGTATGAGAAAGACTCATCACTGCATTTAACAGAATTCAAACATTGCTTATTCTAGGTGCACATCTCAATCCAGCTTTGAGCATATCATTAATGACTGTTGGCAAACTAAAACTATTACAATGTATCTTCTATGTTATTGGTCAAATATTGGGTGGATTTTTAGGAGCTGCCCTAGTCTATCTTGTTTACTTGAAACAATTCGATGAATTTGATGGTGGTATACGACAAGTGATAGGTCCCAATGGTACAGCTGATATTTTCTTTACGATGCCGGGCAAAGGTACACCACAGTGGAATGCGTTGGTCGATCAGATTGTCACTACCGCTATTTTGATGATCTTTGGCATGTCAGTTGGACACGTAAGAAAGTAGCTTGGTATAGATTAGTGATTGATAAGTCATTTTATGTAGAAATTTAATCAGATGATATCAGAAGCAGCCAAGCCATTTGCATATGCGCTGATCGTTACAGGCATTATTTGTGCATTTTCACTTAATGCTGGAGCTGCAATTAATCCTGTATGAAAATTGTATATGTTAATTTGCAAAGTATTATTCTCTTTGTTTTTTTTTGTGCTTTAGGCTCGTGATCTGGGTCCACGTCTTTTTGGAGCATTTGTCTATGGTTGGAATGAAGTATTTGGTGTACATAACTATTTCTTCTGGGTACCGATCGTCGGTCCAATTATCGGAGCCATTGTTGGTGTGTGGCTTCACCAAGGTTTTATTTGGATGGTGAAGCAATACGGCCATCTTCCCAACATTGAAGATAGTGGTTCTAATAAAAAGATCGATTCCAAACCCATACAAATAAAAGAGAATGATTCATTATAGTTTGGACAAATGTTCACAGCCGTGAGCGAATAAATGAAAATTGCATAATTACTTGGATTAATCCAAAAGTTCTGTCGGAGATACTTGATTTTCGAATAGTAAGCTCAAAGAAGTCTTTTTTTCTTATGAAGTAATAGAGAAAACTAAGCTCTTTTTTTCTATGTTATTTGATCATAATTCAGCTAATATCATAATAATAAAATTTGGATAAAAACTGATTTTGTGTAAAATTTGAGCCTGTTTAAAAGAATAATGGGCGTTAGCATTTTTGAAAGGATGGGGTGTGGGTGTGGGTCTCCTCTTAACGTACACCCACCCTCAGTTCAACATGCTTTACAGGGGCGGCGCGAAGGGCTCAGAGCAGGGGGGGGGGAGTATTGTGAAAAATGGGAGAAAATAGAAAAAAGTCTCTAAATTGTAAGTACCTAGTACCTTTTTTTTACTAGTGTTTTTGAAAGCAAGTAGATAGGTAGATTCTTCTGTTATCAATTACAAAAAATAGAGAACATTGTAATAAAGGTTCTTCAGAAACGGAAGAAGTTCAAAATATATCTTCTCGGAAGTTGAAAAATTTTTCAGACATTTTCGCCAAAATTGGAGAAATTTTGAGAAACTTTTTCCAAAATTGAAGAAATTTTGGGACATTCTCTCATTAACTGGAGAAATTTTAAGACATTTTCTCTCAAATCGGAGAAGTTTTGAGACATTTTCTTCAAAATTCGAGAAATTTTAAGACATTCTGTCCCAAATTGAAGAAAGTCTGGGACATTTCCTCATTGGTTGGAGAAATTTTAAGACATTTTCTCTCAAATCGGAGAAGTTTTGAGACATTTTTTCCAAAATTGAAGAAGTTTTTGGAACATATTCTCACCAACTCGAGAAATTTTGAGACATTTTCTGCAAAATTCAAGAAATTTTGAGATATCCGCTCACCAACTAGAGAATTTTTAAGATATTTTCTGCCAAATTGAAGAAATTTTGAGACATTTTCTCCAAAATTAGAGCAATTTTGGGACATTTTCTCATTGACTGGAGAAATTTTAAGACATTTTCTACCAAAATGGAGTAATTTTGGGACAGTTTTTCTCAAAATCGGAGAGAGCTGCAGTCGAACTTTCCAAAGCAGGAGGGAGTACCCTCCTCCAACCCCTCCCCCCGCTCGCGCCGCCCCTGATGCTTCATTTTATAATAAACAAATAACAAATATTAATCTAAATTATTTTCTAAATGTTACTCAATTAACTATCAAACATAATTATTGGATCTTATGATTTTCCATTCGAAGAAATTATTAAATTATTACGTTTTACACCGAACTTATATGCATTCAAATTGGATTTATTATTTATGAAGCAAATAAATTCAAAATTAATTAAAACAAAATGAAAATTTTCAATATGTATCCAAAATAAATAAAATAAAACATTTAGATCTTCGTGAATCTTGTGCATTGAATCAAATTCAAATTATTGTTAAATTATTTCCACAATTAGAATATCTTAAAACTTGTATGGATCGAAAAGAAATCGGACAAATAACGAAATATTTATTATTGAAAACTAATAATACAATATAACATTTATTCTTATTATGTATTTCATAAACACCAAAAATATGTTTCAAAGAATTAAATGTTTTAATTAAGTCAGAAAATTTATTAATCGTGATTTATATTTATAGTGGTAGAAATTTGGTTGTTTAGAACATGTTTTATTTTTGTGTATAACGAGTAATTATTTTTAAATAAAAGAAGATTTGACTATAAAATAAAACATAGTACAGAGTAGGTATGTCGTAATCAAAGAAAATTAGTATATATATTACGATCGAACAAATTCAGTGGTGTCTTCTACTTATTGTGATTCTAAGAAACAATCTCCTTAATCGACATCTTGTTCCAATTATCATATGTAAAAAAAAAACATTCTTTTTTTCTTCGTTCTAAAATATGATCATCGCTGACATATGATTCTTCTCGCCGCCTTGATAAATATGCCATATCAGTGTATATTAATTATCGAGAAGTTGTACGATTAAAACGTAGAACATCTTCGAAAATGACAATGGTTTGCATGTAGTGCTATTGCTGTAGCTGCTCTTATAACTATCAATCTTTTTGCATGTCTAATCAAAACAAAAGAATTTCGTCAGCAATTAGTTCTACAATACGATGTTTTCTTTTATTACAAATAGTTATAAACGCACTGAATTATTTTCTTAAGTGTATGGAAAGAGTCGAATTGATCGTTGATTCAAATTTTTTTGTTGACAAATATAAGATATGAATAAACACTCAGTGAAGCGACATGATTCAAAGCATGCTTATCTGTTTTATCTTTGTCTTCATCCTCAAGAAGATGGATATGCACAGATCTAAATATCCTATTGAAGTGTCATGCTGCTCTGATATTGTATTTGCATTAACCTTTTCAGAAAGAGTTTCGAAGAATATATGATAAAGAAGTTTATAAAAGTGAAACGTATATGAGTATTTGAAGTTCATAAACAGTTGTTCGAATGATTTCTGAACTCTTCATAAAGGATAAGGAAGAGTATTTTACGCGTTAAACTTTTATAAACCATGTAAAATTTATAATTCTATGGCTTAATTTCCAATATATCGGATTTCAAAACTTTTACTACAGATTTCTGATAGTATCTTATTAGATCCTATCCGAACTCTTCAAAATTGCAAAGATATATATTGTGATTCTATTGATTAGTCACTCAGAATTTTTATTAGATAATCAGGAACAGTTCAGTTGTCTGAAACAATGATACATCACATGCGCAATTCTTTCTATTACTAAAAAGAAAGTAAAGCGAGGTAGAAAAAGTATTGTACCAACAAAGTAGAAAATACCATCCAAGTCAGTAAAAACATCAAAAAATAAAGCCGGTATATCTTTGAAAAGATTAGTTAAGCAAAATTTATGATCAGTTTGGCCCTGAAGATTCGTACGGTCGAGTTTGTACACCTTCCAGCCTTGTGACAAGAAAATAAGAGTTGAACCAACAATAAATAATCAATCGTCAGCTAACAAGTAGTCACTCAATACTGATATGAAAAAAATTGATCTATATACTGATGCAAAAACATTAATTCCAACTTCGGATGGTTTCCTTAGGCCAAGCACAGAAGATCTTGAATGTGAAAAACACACATCAGTATTTGAAATTTCGTATTCTTCACGATGTAAACAACAAAAGCAGTGCTCTGTCAGATAGTGTGACCATTCTTGTAGATCAGCGAGTAGAAAAAATAGTGAGTCTACAGTAAAAAAGCCAGCCACCTGCTATCAATGCTTTTGGATGTGGTTCATATATAGTTGTAAAATACATACAGGATCTAGCAATGAAATTAAGATCATCTAGCAAAAAGTGTGTGCCATGAAATATGCGCCATATAAGTGATTATCATCGGTCAATCAACACGGGTTTATTACTGCCATCCGTCCATACTGCTCTTTCGAGAGATGTTGTTAGCTCCATCTTGAAACAATCTTGTATAACTTCAACTGAACTTTTTTAAAATCTACACATGTGAATACTGTTTCGTTTGAGCGGTCAGTTAAAACACTGCATACTATCCTATTTATAAATATTAGTAGAGACAAAAAAGTCAGTATAGATTTGTTTTTCAATAACTTTTATTTATTTCATCGTGTCTATCGACACTGATTATAAAATAGTAGCGGATAGCATGAAAAGCCGTAACGTGAGTGACAAAAAATAAAGAGAGTGTGAACATGGATGTAGATGATTTCCTTCTATTTACACACCCGGACTAACCCACATTTACACGCTTGTTCAATTTATAAAGTAAATTGTAAACAAAGTTGATGAAAAATTATGCTAGTAGCAAATCGATCTAACTCAAAACTTAGTGAATTTCATTATGACGAACATAATATTGAAATTCGTCTTTAGTCTAAATTAATGCTCATTTAATTGTAACATGGCTAAGATTGACACCAGCACTCTATTATTATATAAATATATATATATTTGGCTTTATTGTGCCTAGTTAAATATTCTTTCATAGTGTTTTCAGATTTATATTGTTGGTGATATGTGATTGTTCAAAAGTGAAACACTATTTCTACGCGCCGCCTTCGCCTCATTTTATAAACATGCTGTATATCTCTGTTACAAATAAATGCCGAAGTTTCAAAAATAACTAGATAGTGCTAATAAATCTCATAATGAAAAGTAAATATTAATAGTTATACATCATAATGCATACAAACAAACATCAATTATATATATTTTAGTTCTCGTCCCTTGTTCATTTTGTTAAGTATGATTGACCGAAATATCTATCATGATCTTACGAGAAATAGATAATGTTTTCCAGTTTTCGACCATATACTTTAATAATCATGAACTCGCTTGCTGCTCAAACTATGTAGTGAAATAGATGTACACTTTTTAAAAATACGAGATGTGAATTGCGAATGTATTTTTTTTTGCAATTATTTTTCATACTTGACTTTTATAAACAAATACTGGTTTAGTTTCTTCTTTATTGATTTCAACCATCTTCTTAGCCTTTAGTGGAAGCAATTCAATCGATATTTAATTCAAAAAGAAGCTGTATAAATCTTTCCATCTTTTGCGTTGTTCATTTTTCACTGCTTCCAAAGATCTGATATGTCCGTTACAAACACGAAAATCTTGATTAATTTATTCACTTATAATATTAAATGCATGTGATCAAGTTGTTTTCTACGATGAATTTCAGCTTACAATAAATTAGTTACTTAATATTGTTTCATTTGTTCTAATCTTATGATATTCTGTTGATTATTTTTCACACTTTTTTGTGTTGTTATTATACGATTACTTTTTCATCAAGTCAAAAGTCATCAATGTAGAGAATTCAAATTTTTAGATTGATGCAAATAAAACAATATAGGTTTCTGTTTAAAAAAAACAAAACTGATTGTTTATTGATTCTTTTATACTGAATTTTTATTTGTCAAATACCAATGAAATGATCCATAGATTGTTTTTTTTCTTGTATTCTCGATTCCTCTATTCATTCTGCAACTGCATCCTTAAATAAAGAAAGAGAATTAATTGAAAGTTTCTATTATTCCTTCCCGCTGCTCATTACACAGATGTATAAAAAGTTCTGTTCGAAGATTATTTATTGCTTATTTTTTTACTTTCATATAAGAGAGAAACAATCTATTTCAATTTCTCCTGGTTTTATTTATAAGATGAAATATAGTTCACATTTATTAGGTAAAAAAGCGAATTTTTCATGTTTTAAAGTAGTTTCCGTATCGTACACACTTTGTTCCGAAAAGAATTTTACAATATGCTTTGTTTTTTTTTTCTTTTCTTCATATCTTCACATAGATTCTTTCAATTACATATGAACAAAAGATGTATGATAAAATCTATGAAAGATGTTAGAAGTTATAGAAGTTTTTTATTTCAGATTTTCATTTCTCAAAAACTACCCAAAATAAAAAATATCAATGATTATTTTACTTCTATTTGTATTGATTTGTTCAACTTGTATTAATGCAACTCATTTCTATGGTGGTACTATCACCTGGATGCCTATTGATTCTTACACTAATTCATCTTCAGTCGATATAACTATTACACAGACTTATTCATGGAGTTATCCTGTTATTTCTTGTACAACAAATGTCCCAGTCTCAAGTGGTAGATCTAATACAAATTTGACTTGCATTGCTAATTGTTCAAACGATGGTGGTTATTCAAATGCACCTATTTCAATTTTAACTGATTGTACTTCTTATAGTGATACATTAGGTACAATATCAAGTACACGATCAATCAATATTACACTTAATGCTAGTGCATCTTTTTATATAGCATATACAGGAAGTTCTTGGAGAAATTTGTATTCTGCTTCAACAAGTGGTCTTAGTTGGTCTGTTGTATCTTTAATTAATCTTCATTTACGATCTGATGGTATAATTAATACTCCACCAGTATCAAATGTCCTTTCACCTCAATATGTTATTGAAAATACAACAACTCTCATTGATATACCTATATCAGATGTCAATATAGGTGATAATGTACGATGTCGATGGGCAGTCAATCAAGGCAGTGGATCGATTGATGAATGTAGTAGTATTTGTTATTCAAGTAGTTTGCCAAGTGGTACAACTCTATCCAATTGTACTCTTTCATTTACAGGACTAGTACCAAATACATGTTATCCTGTTGCTTTACAGGTGTATTTAACAATAGAAATAATAGAATTATAAAATAATTTTATATTTATGTAGGTAGAAGATTTTATCAATAAAACAAGTACTGATCCAATGAGTTCAGTACCAGTTCAATTTTTAATATGTGTCAAAACAACACCATCATGCACAATATTACCTGTCATTATTTCTTTGACAGATTGTTTAAATGTTCAAGTTGGTGTAACAACGAATTTTACTCTATATATAATGAATTTATGCAATTCCAGTGCAACAATCACTGAAGTTATTATATCACAAGCGATTTCTAGTATGACAGTTGGTACTTTGACAAATTCGACAACGAATACATCATTGTCTTATATATCACTCACTTGGACACCACAATCTAGTCAAATTGGAACACAAGAACTGTGTGTATATGCTTATAATAGGTAAAACTTTTATCATTTTACTTTTGATTGATTGTCATATATATATATATGTGCTGCTTTTATATCTATAAGTTTATTGGTACGTTCAACACAGTACTGTGCAACATTCACAGTAACAGCATCATCTGCAAGCTGTTCAACAACAACGTAAGTTTTAATCCTATATGAAAAACTACTCTTTGTATTCGTTGTTTTATTTCCAGAGTTGCTGGAGTTTCAACGACAATAGTACCAAGAAATAATGGCATTAATATTCCACTTATTGTCGGTTTATCATTGCTAGGATTATCACTAGCATTATGCTGTTGTGGTTGTTGGCTATATAACTTTTTCTGGTATGTGAATCTTTCTGATATTTAATTTAAAAAATATATAAAATAGAATATTGAATAGAAAGAAAATATTGTTGAGTTTGTTTCATTTCTAATAGTGGTCCTGCAGGAAGGCGTCGTCGAGAAGGGAAACAAATGGAAGAAATAATTGGACAACAAAAGTCTTCTCAATTATTACCATCATTCATCACTAGAAATCTTCCATTCAAAATAATGAATAACAATTATTTATTTTACAAGATGCCAAACAACCAAGATAACACAAGTAGTCTTGGTTCAAGTCCGCCAACGTCATTGTTAATCGTACCTAAAAATGAAATACTTTTTACCAATAGTGAAATTGGTACAAACCATAATCTTGATCAATTATTTACTCATGAAAATATTCGACAAAATACATCACATCATCACAACAATAATATTACTAAAGTTCCTCGAAACAAAGTATCTACAGTTTGCAACAGTGTACAACTCAATGATAGTCAAACGAAAGATAGAAATAGTAACATTAGTGCGGCTAATAGTATTATTGAAAATATAACTATTGAAGATGTGGATGCATCAATACATCACAATGAATCTGTGAATGTCATTAAACGGAATGGAGATGGAACGTTAGCCGCTGAAAAAAATCAAATAAAAAAAGTTAATACTCCTGCAGCCGGAAAACAACGAGGAGTTCGTTTAATAAAAACAAAAATTGGTAGGCCATCGATCACAAGACGACATTCATCCAAAATCAGTAGTATTACCGTTACCCGAGTAACAAGTTTATCTAACAATGATAAAACAAGAAGAAGTAATGAAACGACTGCAGTTCATGGGGATGATGAAGGACATACCAATAACATAATAAATACTACTTCAATTTCACATAAAAAGTCAAAAACTCGATCATATAGATCAAGACATCGGAAAATTAATGTCAATGTTATGAATTAAATCCTTTATCTCTACTTGAACTTTGAATATTACTCTTATATTTTCTTTTTTAATTTTAAGGATTGTCTGTGTGCTTTTACAAATATATATGTCGTGCCGAAGTTGTAACTTCGGCAAACATTTTGTCGAAGTTACAACTTCGACAGGAGGGTGTGGGTGGATGTTGGTATTGACTGCTCCTAATCCAAACCCATATCCACACCCTTAAAATATTGTTGATTTTCAGAGAACTACATATCTCATCAAAAATAACTTTACGAAAAAAGGAGAGAGAAATACATATGATTTTGAATAAAACTTACTTTATAGTTCTAATTAATGAAATTGACAAGTAAATTAATCTATCCTTTTGCTTTGTGATATTTCATGTAACAAACATATATCAATGTGATGCAAGTATAGTAAGATTAATCGTCACAACGAATAAAAAATTACCATTAATGGATGATAAACTACAATTCATCGAGATGGAAACTAATCAGAGAATGGTAAATAATACAACATCGTTATGAACGGCAAAAACATGAGCATAATACTTCATAGTAACTGGGACCCTTAAACAAATTTATTATCGAAACTAGTTAATACAGTGAATTTCAAAACAATTTAGTCATATCAAGAAAAGTTTTAAATTTCATTATCTTGACTAGATGATGTTATAAAACTATATTTTTATTAAATGTTTAGATTTATTTTCACTTTTAATCAAAGATGTTTGATCTTTCGATATGGTAGGAACAAATCCGATTTTTCTTTCAATTGAGTATCTTGAAATGCATGTATACTATGAAATATCTCTTACAATGATGAATAACTTCTATACAATAAGTCTGGGTATAACATGAAAACCCATTTTACTCAGCTTTGAAAAACTATTATCAAATTGAAACACACGTTATAAAATCTGCTTCTAAAAATGTTTTTGTATAAGTGAAAACCTAATTTTTGAACGGTGTGTGTAATAAACCAACTTAAAGTGTACCTCGATTGAAACGACCATGATGCCTTTTTCTGTCTATTATTTATCCATACTTTTATGTCTTTTCATCTCTTCCTTCTTCTATATATACATTAGAATGACTTTCTCCATATATCGTTCTGTCGTACATAGTGTTATCCATAATTGTAATTTAACTTTTGCTTTCCTTTGCATTTGTCTTTACATACCGTATTTTGCTCTTTTTGTGTTTACTGTATTTTTCATGTCCCTTCTATACTTAGACAGTATATAAGGAACGAGAAAAATACAGTATAGTGTACTTGACTCGAGAAAACCTTTAATAAGTCATTATTATGATATTCTGACTATAGCTCAAACAAATATCTACACATCTGTCTGTTTTTGCGGTTTTTTATAACAAAGTCACATCACAAGAAAATACGAAGATGAGAAACGGTTCAATATTTTCATAATTTAAGTTTCTATAAAACTTCTATAACTTTTCAATCGAGAGTTCTGTGGCTGAAAAGCATTCCCATACCCACATCCCCATCCTCAAGTTTTTTCCAAAGCAAAATCTTTCAATGTTTTTATAAGATTGTATTTTTGACAACAACCATGTTGTTCTGAATTTTGGTGAATCAAAGGAATCAGAGTCTTCCTAGTATTTCAGAAACATGTTTCAGCGAGACTCACTAGACAGTTTTCGAATATCTAGAGTGAAGGCACTGAATCACCCAATCACACCTTCCGTCAATTTGGACAGCTCTGAATAAAACTGATTCAACGATACATAGAAAAAAAAGAACTGCGAGATACTCGACTTCTTTCCATTACCATTAGCTTGTCAAGATCCATTTCTTACAGAGTTTCCCTTTCAGGTAAGATATCGTTTGATAAACAATGATCACTAGCAAAGGAAGGCGTTAGTTAAAGTAATAAGAAAAGTCAGGAAACCTTAGAAGAAATTGATCTTTTTTAAAAAGCTATTTGAGAGATCGTCCGTAGCTCATTATCATGTGTTCTTTTGAAACGAAGTGAGAGCAAAATAATTGTAGAACCTCTCTAGGAATCGTTTGGCTTTGACTTCAATCAATTTTTGTGATGCAAAAACTCCTTGTTTGATCGATAGAACTGGTCATTGACGTGAAGAAATCCTTCGATGAACAATTCAGTACAAAATTTTCTCATATAAAAAGATTGAAAGCCTATTAGTTCGCTTTTTCTCCTATGAGAAAAAAGTAATTTCAACATCCAACTTGAATATATTTGTATGTAGGAATACATTTAATGCAAAGGAAGAAAAAGACATATATGGAGAAGAAGAAAAGAGTGTTTCACTATGAAATTATTAAAATGACGAAAAAGTTTTATTGTGGTTGTTGTTGTTGATGAAAAACTACAAGCTGTTCCTATTGTTCCTTTTGTGTAAGATCTTCTGCACTTCTGTGATATTGTTTTACTCTGTCCCATCTTTCCATTTCGTAGATTTCCATTGTTTGTTCAATTCGATCGTTCCAAGTCATCGAGTGGTAATCCATGTGGTTGCTATGCAGGATTTCCTTCTAGTTCATTCAAATATTGTTATTCCCATATTTCCTGTCTTTCTTGTGGAGTCATCCTTTATTTTAACACCTTAAAGATAGTAGACTTATCACAAACCCTGAAAACTTCGTATTTTTACACTGGACGACCCAAAGAAAAATAGAATTAAAGATTGTTTCATTCTTTTCCTTCAGGACTTTTTAGTTTTAGTAGATTTCATAAAGGTTTGCGGTTATTACATAGAAACTTTCACAAGTCCCGTAGATCAGTTTGCAATTTTGAACATCGTGAAATGATGCACTGATGCGTCAGAAGAGTTTTCGAAAGTTTCAGATTATTTTGACGAAATCTTCAGGAGAAAAGCGATCAGCAATACTTGTTTATATAGAAAATACTTAAAAATACAGCAACACTTTCGGAAATCATACAAAAAAATCTTCATTTATTCTATGATTTTTCAGTCTATTCAATCAAATATAATTATGCGATAGAATAATAGTTCATAAAAGATTCATTAAAACGATTCTGTACTATATACTTCTTGAATGTTAATGGTAAAATTATCATAAAACTTCATAGGTTTTGGACTATCATTCTCCGTAAATTCTATTGGTATCCAAGCTTGAAAATCATGGCCTTTTATTCCATCTTTACTAGAGCGAAATCTTTCTCCATAGTACATGTATAAAGTTTCTTCTGATGATATTGGTAAAGTGGCTACATTAAATTGTTGAGCAGGAACTGTGAAATTTGTACCATAAGGATCATTAATTGAACATGGATTTACAGTCATACCGGAAACATGATCCGGTGGAGCTTTTCCATCAGCACAATAATTTAACTGATCAATATAGGTCCAGTTACCGAGAGGATCAGTACTAACAAATGTGCGTGCATCTGCGCCCCATTGACAAAAACAACAATCTGCGCCTAACATCGTATAGTAGATTCCTTTTCTTTTGAAGACTCCTCCCCCTTCAAACCATGGATAATCTTGTTTTTCGAAAATAATAGAGAATTGCCCAGTACTTGTCATCCAATCTGGAGAAAGTCTTTCTATCACATGTCTCAAAGGTGCATCACGTGTATTATACCGAACATAAGCTGTATTATCATCGTCAATGAATAGGCCAGTAGTGCTGCTGATTACTTTTCCTCCTTGCATTACTAAGGGTGGAACATTCTCAAAAGGACCAAAGGGTGTTGAAGAAACAGCAAGAGCAACAAGAGAATTTTGGAATCCGTATCTGCTGGACCAATAGATCATTACATATTGTCTGGTACGACTATTATAACCAACATTTGGCATCCAATAATTGGTGTGATTATTATCCTTAGTCACTTCGGGTACAACGTTATTACTGATCAATGTCCAATTAACGAGATCCGCTGAAGTATATAAAGCAAACGTGTTGTTTAAATAACCACATACACCATCACAAATCGTGGTAGATTGATGACATTTACCATAAACTGTGCCATACAGGAAATAGGTATTACCAAATTTAACCAAACAGCCATCATGTGCATCAACATATGATCCATTTATATCTAGTCGAGGAAGAACATTCGAAATGATTACTTGCTTACTTGAAACAAGCAGAAAACTTGATATAAGAAGAGCATAGAAGAAACTCATCGAACAGAAAACAAAGTTTTGAAATTTTTGACAGAGTAATATCCAAAAAAGTATATTTTTATTGATAAGACAGAATATGTGATGTGAAAGACAATCTTATATCTGTAAAACTCCACTGTTTTATCTTACTGTTGAGATAACAGGTGTTCTTGCTATTGCATCTCCTTCATGTAATGCAAATATGACTTTGCATGCTTTAAAAATAAAAAGGTGATGATTCGTTAAGAACAGCTGCCATAATCTTGATTTCGCTTCAGCTGCGAACCTCCTCCATCGGTGACATATGAAGTTAGAGATTCAATAGTATCTAGAATATAAAGGAAAAAAAACAAGAATGAATGATGATTTCAAGTAATAGAAAAGTAAGAGTGATAGTTTTTAATTTTTTCTGATTTGAGTCTTGTTTTTTATAGGTGACGAAGAAAAGATGAAAAATGGATGGTCAGAAACAAATATTTATTGGTGAAGTTGTCTATTTTTGCATGTTATGCTTTGTTGATAATCAGGAGAATTATGTTTATTTTGATTGATCAGTTGGAAGCGTCAGGTTGGATCTTTTGTTAAGGTGGCGGACTGCGCGAAGTGTAGAAGCCAACTTATTGCTTTTCATTCGGTTGGTTGTCATGGCAAATTCTTCTTCTTCTTTCCACCCATGAGTCATGATTCAAGTCGGCGACTCGTTCCCCGCAACTAACTATTACTTCGAGATGGAAAAAAGACTCCTGATATCCTGAGAATGTGACAAATGCATATCTGAAATCTGTTTTTCAAACTTCGACTTCGTTTGGAAGCTATAAAAATGTAAAAAACAATAATCAACGGCTGCTACTTGGTTTATATAGTAATGTCTGATTCAGCTTCATATCTTTCATTATCTTTGATTGATCAGTTGAGGCAAGATAATGAAGATGAGTGAAATTCATTATGATTTCATCTACGCGAGATTAATGTTAGAAAGGCAGATGTTGTATAGAATCATTATAGAATTCTATTTGGATGGTTTTCAGACTATCCAGTCAGTCACTCGTTCTCCGCAACTGACCATCCTTTCGTGACGAAAAACACTTTGTCGAGACTGTGAAAATGTGACGAGTGCAAATCTGAAATTCGTTTTTCAAAATTCGATCTCATTTCGGAGCTTCAAAAATTCAGAAAACAATAATTAACAGATGATATTTTCCTCATATGACAATAGATGAGTCAGCCTTAAACAACCATTGATATGGGTGTGAGTGTGGATGTGGGTGTGCGGATGTGGGTGTGAGTAAGGAGAAGATCCACATTCACGTCCAAACCCACACCCACAC